ATTAAAAGGTAGATCTAATTCTGATCAAATGTTAGATACTTGGATTAATTCTGGAATTCACACTATAGAATTTTCATTGGGTTTAATATCAAATACTTCATCTTACTTAAGGATATGGGCTGTGTCTTTAGCACATAACCAATTGACTTCTGTTATTCATCAATTTACAATTGGTGCAAATTCATTTGTTAAAAAGATAGTTTTATTTCCAGTTTATTTAACTGCTACTTTATTAATTTTAATTGGATTGGAAGGGTTGAGTGCTTGTTTACATGCCTTAAGACTGAATTGGATTGAATTTTTTGGTAAATTTTATAAAGGTGAAGGTGTGATGTTTGAACCATTGAATTTTAAATTAAGTCACGAAGAACTTTATGATTTATAAATTATTTCTTTATTTTTAATAAATAAAAAGTATAATTTAAAAATTTTTTACATTTTAAAATAAAAATTGTTAAAATTATACTTTAACTTAGTTTTTAAAACATCTATATATAACCTTTTAATAATTTTATTAAAAGGTTGCCTCATTATTTATTTCTTTATCATAAATTTCTCTAATAATTTTATAGAAAGCTTTTATAGGTCTCCCAGTTGCAGTGCCTCTAAATATTTCATGTGGAAATCCTTTCATTGAAATACCTGCAATATCAAAATGTGCGTAATGTATAGAACTATCAACAAACTCGTATAAAAAAGCAGCTGCAATTGAAGCTCCAGCGGATACGTTTTCAGGATTATTAACTAAATCTGCTACTTTAGAATCAAGTAGTTCATAATAATAAACTGATAACGGTAATCTTTGTAAAAATTCAACGTTTTTACTTTTCCTCTTAATTATATCATTTAATTTTTCACTGTTTGTAAAATAACCACCATAAACATTACCTAGGGCTTCTGATACTGCATGAGTGAGTGTTGCTGCATCTATTACATATTTTGGTTTTTCATCAAAATATCTTTGTGCAAATGTTAACGCATCTGCTAAAATCAATCTACCTTCTGCATCTGTATTAACAATTTCAACAGACTTCCCATTCATACTTACAAACACATCACCTGGTTTTGTTGATTTACTACCTGGCATATTTTCAACCAATGGAATGGTACATGTAATATTGAGTTTTAATTTGTTTTGTACTACAAGTAACATAGTTGATAACACAGTCGCTCCTCTCATCATATCACATTTCATTTGTTTCATATCATGTGGTTTTTTTAATGAAATACCACCTGAATCAAAAATCACACCCTTACCCACTAAAGCAATATCATGTGAATCTTTATTTATTTTGTTATTTGAATATTTTATAGTAACTAACATACCCTGATTTTTTGCACCCTGTGTTACTGAATAAAATAAACCCATTCCCATTTTTTTACACGCTTTTTGATCAAAAACTTCTATTTTTACATTTTTAGAATTTTTAAACATTTCTTTTACAAATGAAACAAATATTTTAGGTGTTAAATAATTAGGAGGTAAATCACCTAAAAATCTTGCTATGCATTGTGCTATTGCTATATCATACGTTTCTTTATCATCAACTTTTAACCTTATTTTTGGAAAAAGTGATACAGTCTTTTGATCTGTAAAATATTCACTATCAAATTTATAAAGTGATTGTATCAATCCATGAATAGCCTCACGTATAAAAGGATTGTTAGCAATTGTTATCTCATAATGTATGTAGTTTTCTTTAATTCGTTCAGCTACTTTTTTCATTGCTCTTTGTATATTTACAATTGCCATATATGAACCATTAACGTCTTTATGTTCTATATTACCTATACCTAAAAATATTTTATCATTTGTAACTAATATTTCACCAACTGATCCATTTGGGTTTTTGTTTTTAATTTCATTTATACTTTTACCAAGATTAACAACCCCATTATTGTTACACCCATAAAGAATTATTTCTATATTACCTTTAACTTTATCACAATTCAAATCTTTTTGAATATCTAATAAATTAATAACATTAACCATTATTTGTATATAATTAAATGTTTTTAAAAAAGTATCAAATTTAAAATAAAAAGAATGTATTTTAATCACAATATCTGGTTAAATCATGTTTTACTCTATATATTCTATTAGCAAATAATACAAACAGATCATCTTGACAAATATCAAAATCTAAAGGCTCATTACCCTTTAATCTTATTATATACGGAACATTATTCTTTTCAGAAATGTCTAACAAATTAAATAAAAACATACTATCAGTCTTTCCTAGTCCTATTAAAATATTGTCTATTATTTTAAACGTGCTACAAATTTCATACATGTTGATATTTCCTAAAAAGAAAAAATCATTATAAAAAAATTTTCGTTCACGGTTTATATTTAAATCAAAATTATTTGTTTCACCGTATGTCATGTTGATAATATCATTACTTAATGTGATCATTATATCTCCGTAATAAGCTACTTTAGTTATTATTGACTTATGAATTCCTTCATATGATTTTAGTGGTTGAAATAAAAACTGTTGTTGTTTAGTGGTGTTATATTTGATTAAAGCATCTTTTAAATCCCATTCTCTAAACGTAAAGTCATGACCCCCGCTTAACAGTTTAGTTTTCTTTTTATTTACATCAACTGAACAAATTCTATCTCTATGTCCTAATATACCACCCATTACTACCGCACATTTATTTTCTTTAATATCCCAGACTCTTATTGAACTGTCATCACTACAACTTATAATGTAATTATCAAAAGTCTTTATATCTCTTATACTTCCCGTATGTCCTCTAAAATAAGCATACAGTCTACCATTTTGCAAATTTATTATTTTAATCAATCCTGATTCTCCACCCAAACACAAAAAATAGACTTTCTCAAAACGATCAAAACCTTCCAAAAAATCACAACACGTGTATGTTTCTTGTTTGTCAGAATCAATATATTTAGTAAGTGTATTAAAAACAAAGTCAAAAATTCTAATTGATCTATTTCCAACTGCAACACACAATTTCAATTTAGGATGTACTTTAATCATAGAAAGTTTAACATCTTTCAAAACAATTTCTTCATTCATAAAATTTTTGGGAGTAAAAATTTCTTTTTTATTCATTCTTTAACACAGACTATTAAATTCTTAATTCTTATTCTTAATTTTTTTTGTTGAAAAAAAATTATAAAAAATTTTATAAAGTTGAAATGTGTGACTTTTTTATAATTTCTAAGAAAACAACGTATCAGATTTCAGAAATTTATCTGAAATATTCAAATAATTTTTTATAAATAATTAAGATTTGTTTTACTTAAAGATTTATAAAAAGATCAAAAATACTATTAATTATTCATTTGATTTCTTTGATAATAAAAGACATTAAATTAAATCATTAAATCTGTTACTTAAAAAATATTTATTAAAAACATTAAAATTTTATAATCTTTCTATGGTAGATCAATATTATGTTAGTATATTAATATCTAGTAATAATAAAAGTTATGAAATAAACAAATTAAATTATTTAAAAATAATTGTTTAAAATTCTACTTTCTTTATAGTAATTTTTTAATACTTTGTTTATAAAATTCATAATTTAAATAACACACTTCTAAACTTTTTTAATCTTTCAAGTGACCTTGTTTTAGTTGATTAATCAAATATAAATAAACTGCTATTTATTTATTTATGATTTTAATTTATTTAAAAGACTATAAACCAAAGATTTACTATCTTAATAAAATACATTTCTTAATTCATATTTCTTTTATTTAATCATAATAAAAAAAATGTGTTTGTATTTTTTTATAAGTGTTATCAAAATCATTAAATAAAAATAATTTTTTATAATTTAAAACAAGCTTAATCAAAACATTGAATTTTTTTTATTTTCTATATATTTATACACCAACATAATATATTTAACTGTATTTTTTTTTAATATTCTAATTTAATAATTATAATTAATAAACTTGTGTTATTGGTTGATGAATTAGGTATTTTTAAAATTATTAATACATCAAATAAAATCTAAAAAAATATCTAAATCATTTTATTAAAATGCAGACAAGTATGATAACATTGCTGATACTTCAATGTCATGATCTAATGTTTTTGTATTCTTTTTCATAGATTTATCATTCTTATTAACAATTTTTTTGTTAGAATTACTTTGATTCAATTTTCCATTAATATCATCCTTATATTCCAAATGATCTGTTATATAATTGCATGAGAATTGCATCCTTTGAGGGACCAGTTTTTTATCCTTAAAAAATGCATGAATATTTTGCATAGAATTGCCAAAATCAGATGATCTCTTCTCGATCTTGAAT